TATTTTTATTATGTCCTGATACATAAAACCATAGAACTCAAAGAGGGTGTACTTTCTTTTTCATGCAACTGTAGATGTGTGATAGGCAGCAGAACTGGGCCAGACCTGGAAGTATAGAGGCAATCTTAAATAATAATAGTATGCATGTAGCTTAATGTAGTCATATACTTTCCTGAAATATGACATGTCACATTTAATGGAAAAGTCTTAACGCCAATTGGAATTAAAATGTGTAATTAACGTGATACCTTTTTAAAGTTTTCTTTGTTTCCTAATCTTTCAGCAATTACATACATATATGCATGCATGCTGTAGACTTCTTTAAAAACAAAGCTAAGTTTTTTTTTAAAGCTTAGCAAAATTGCAAAGATAGAATAAAATTTGGCCACCCATTTCCTACTTTTATCAAGAAATAAGAATCAAATTGTTCTGTCATCCTATCATTAATAGTAGCTTCACAATAATTAAATTTATCATTCACATAATTATATTTCATTCTGTTTTTGTTTTCCAGCTTGATTGTTTATCCTCCTCCACCTGCAAAAGGAGGACTTGGTGTTACAAAAGAGGATTTGGAGTGTTTAGAATATGGAGAATTCCTAAATGATGTCATCATTGACTTTTATCTTAAGTAAGTAAAACTGATGGTAACTTCCTCTTGCAGTTGACAGAGCTATTGCCTGATAGTAGACAATTTGGAATGCTGAAAAAAGGTTCCCCTTCCCCTAAATCAACCTGTAAGTGATTTTTCTCTATTTGTAATGATTAAATATCAACTTGTTGGAAATTAAATGATTTAAGTTCACTCCTAATTATTTCAGAATGTCAAAAATGTGACTTTAAAATACTTAGTGTAAAAGAATCAAATCAGTTGTGTCAATAGCCAGTCGCTGTATTGTCTTTGCTATGAACACATTTTCATCAGGCACACCGAAGAACAAAAATCGCGAATGTTACATTCTGGCTAAAATACTCTAATTCTGAGTAACAAAAAACATTTTCATATGAGAAATAAAACATCACTTTTTCTTTTGCCTCTTTGGTAGATATCTGCTGTTAGAAAAAGCTCCTAAGGAACTTGCAGACCGGTCACACATATTTAGCAGTTTCTTCTATAAGTGCTTGACTAGGACAGAGAAGAACTCTGAAGAAAATCCAAAACTTTCGTAAGCTGACTTTAAATAAATAACCTTTATATTTCTTAAAACAAAGGAAATAAAATTACCTCTAAGAATTATTCGTGATCTATGCTATGGATTTTGATAAAAATTAGTAAGGGAAGATGTGGCACTCTTTCCCAGTACGTTTTAGTTGATTTATCAATCAGTATGCATCTTTTTTAGAGCTAGTGCTTGAACAGCCATGGCTAATCTCATGCATTCTAAATATGATTAGGAAAATTTGTAAACATTTGGTAAGATACTGTGATCCAGGAAGCTACTGATATATTAGGATCACAAGATTGCAACCCCAGTTATTTCCATAATTTTGGGTAGTATATTTTAATGAAAATATTGTAAATATATATAAACAAAATCTACAATATTTCTCTTAAAAACCTTAAGTGATGTAAGAGTTTTTTTGTTGTTGTTGCTCTTTCTGCCTGGTACTTCTTTTTCCTAACCCAGTACCTTCAAGTTTTAGAATAATAGCAGTAGTTGTTGTTGTTATTTATAACTCCCATAAGTCTCAGACAACATACATAGCCAAGGATAATGGGAAACTTAGTCAAAACATCTAGAGGATATCAGTGCAGAAGATTTTTTGTAAGTGGTCAAGTACTCATTTGAATTACCAAGTTCTCTCTGTGCACCTTGTGAGGACTGCAGGTGACAAGACAGAAGATGAATATCTACTTTTAGCAACATAGGCCTAGATTTCTTACAGGCATAGCACAGAATGGGGAAGGAAACTATGGTTCCAATGGTCATCCTGTCAGTTCAAACTCCTTCCAGACAGGAGGAGATAGGAGCTTGAATAATTGTAGTGATAGGCAACACTGTCTTGGCCAGATGATTTGCAAAAAGTGAATTTGCCTATTGCCAGCCAAAGGCTAATATAAAGCAGTTTATATGGTCCTTTCCACATAGGGAGTTAAATGACAATATTTATTGTTATTTCTGAGAAACTGCATTAATTATTATTTTATATTTACACAGAATAGCACAAAGAAGACACCGAAGAGTAAAAAGGTGGACTCGATATATAAACATTTTCAATAAGGATTACATTTTTGTGCCTGTAAATGAACAGTAAGTTTGCTATATTCCTTGGAACACAACAAATGTTTTCTGCTATCATCTATGTCAGCTGATATTCCATATGACTACTTTGGTATACCTAGAGTTTAGATGTTCTTGAAAAAGAGCATAAAGTCTATATGAATCTTATATTCATAACTTATAATTTAGATGCCATCTAAAGACTAACAGGGAAAATGGTATAGCGATTGTCTTATACCAAATAAGTACCTTGCCTTACTAGAAATAACATCAGAAAAGGGCATACATAATCCGAAAAGTTTTATTTATTTCTCTTAGAGAAGCAGGTATTGATCTTCCTCTTCTTTTTCTTGTCCAGGTCTCATTGGTATATTGCAGTAATTTGCTTCCCTTGGTTAGAAGAAGTTATATATAAGGATTGTGAAAAGCAACATTTGTCACAATCCTACTTCCAGCAATTTCCGCATCATCCAGAAAGTAACAATGGAACAGTTAGAAAAGAAACTGTTTTGGTCCTTAGTGATATCTGGTGTGATACTGAAGAGCTAGATATAAAGAGCAACCTGCATCCTGAAGGTAATGATTTAGGAATGCATGCTGGATAATATTAAAGATTTTTAAAAGTGCTATATATAAAGTTCTTGGAGATCAATGGATGAATACCCTTTTCATCTATCTTTGTCATGTGCTTTTCCCCCTGTGGCATGTGGCCTGCTTAACTGGCTATAAGTTTTAGTGCATGTTTGCTATTTACAATCTGTCCTCATTAAGGTAATCCAAGCCATCTGGTTAGGGATGATCCAGTCTCAAACAAAAGTTTCCCAGCTTCTGTTGGTTTTTTATCCATGAGTTAAACTGCTTTGTCCTTTTGTTTTATGTTTCATGCAGATAGTCTGCTTCCATATTCATACAGAGTTGACCCATGTATACAAGCCTGATTTGTCCCAGTATTTTTCAGTGTCTTAACATATGTAAACTCCTCCTTCATAAACTACCAATCACAAATCTATGCTTTGCCTTTCTAATTCAGCCCTATTCATGGAGCAGGCAGCATTTCAGAGAAAGCTATTTTGAAAGTCCTGGATTATAAGATCCTATTGCACAAACTAATGTTGATTTCCAGGATTTCATGGATTTCATACCCCTATATATTAGTTCCAGTGTACCCCCACAACCACTGATTCTGTCCAAGTGCTGACTATAGGGGTGTCTGAAGTATAGGCAACCTTTTGGTAGCCCTGGGCCTTATTTCACATTTTTATATAATTTATTTCCAACTTTCTGTTGGTAGAAAAGAAGAAAAATTGGAGAGCTAATGCCATTCTGGGATCTTAGGTTGTCATCTTTGATCTATTGATGTGATACCTATAACCTTTATATACTGTCAGGCCCAGTCCAAGAACAACAGGGAAACAGTCCAGTCAAGTTCAGTTCTTTTATTGCTTACCTCATGTAGACAGAATCTTGCCAGACTAAATCTGTACTACTCTTACCTAGTGGATATATCTTGGGAGATTCTAGGAAGTAGCTATCCTAAATCTCTTCCTCTTCCCATGCTCCTGCTCTGGACTGTGCTATCTCTTGTCTTGCCCCTCTTCCTGGAATCTGCTCCCTCCTTCCTGAGAACCTTATACACTATTGCCATCCATCACACACACAGCCAGGCCAGTACACTTATACATGTGCCTGTCTTTGTCTCTAATTGAAGTGCTATTCATTATGACACTCTGAAAGTATATGGTGTGTATGCATGTGTGTGTGTAGATAGATAGATAGATAGATAGATAGATAGATAGATAGATAGATAGATAGAGGTGAAACTTGTAAAATTAGAATATTGTCTATCTATCTACAGGTGAAACTCAAAAAATTAGAATATCGTGCAAATGTTCATTTATGTCCTATCTATCTACAGGTGAAACTCAAAAAATTAGAATATCGTGCAAATGTTCATTTATGTCCTATCTATCTACAGGTGAAACTCAAAAAATTAGAATATCGTGCAAATGTTCATTTATGTCCTATCTATCTACAGGTGAAACTCAAAAAATTAGAATATCGTGCAAATGTTCATTTATGTCCTATCTATCTACAGGTGAAACTCAAAAAATTAGAATATCGTGCAAATGTTCATTTATGTCCTATCTATCTACAGGTGAAACTCAAAAAATTAGAATATCGTGCAAATGTTCATTTATGTCCTATCTATCTACAGGTGAAACTCAAAAAATTAGAATATCGTGCAAATGTTCATTTATGTCCTATCTATCTACAGGTGAAACTCAAAAAATTAGAATATCGTGCAAATGTTCATTTATGTCCTATCTATCTACAGGTGAAACTCAAAAAATTAGAATATCGTGCAAATGTTCATTTATGTCCTATCTATCTACAGGTGAAACTCAAAAAATTAGAATATCGTGCAAATGTTCATTTATGTCCTATCTATCTACAGGTGAAACTCAAAAAATTAGAATATCGTGCAAATGTTCATTTATGTCCTATCTATCTACAGGTGAAACTCAAAAAATTAGAATATCGTGCAAATGTTCATTTATGTCCTATCTATCTACAGGTGAAACTCAAAAAATTAGAATATCGTGCAAATGTTCATTTATGTCCCTATACTTCAGACACCCCTATAGTCAGCACTTGCCTATACTTCAGACACCCCTATAGTCAGCACTTGGATGACATAAATGAACATTTGCACGATATTCTAATTTTTTGAGTTTCACCTGTAGATAGATAGATAGATAGATGAACTATATTGAAAAGACAGAATAGAAGTAAAAACAATAAAAATTTATAAATATACATTTATGCTATACATTTTCAGTTCAAAGCCATCTACCATTCTCAATATTGTTATTTTTCTTTAATCCTATTTTGTTTTCTTTGTCGTCTTAGATGAAATTCAACCAGGAACTCTGGCTTCAGAATTAAATTCCAAAGTTTCCAAAGTAAGTATTTTGACTGCATTCAGATCATTGTATCTCTACTTACACGTTTTGCAATTGGAATGAGTGTTCTGTGTGTGCATGCTACCTGTCCTTGGCATCAGTAATCAAACCAGGAAGTTTTCAATTATTTTTCATTCTGTGCATGAGAAACTGATTTATAAGAAGCCAAGGTATTAACTAATTTCAAAGTGTGATTTAATATCCTAATTTCTTCCAAAACAACTAATCATAGTTTCCTATCCAGATGGAAAAAAAAATGTTTACAGATAGTCCTTGCTTACTGATCACTCATTCAGCGACTGAAGTTGCAACAGCACTGAACGAGTGGTACTTGTAACCAGTCCTTGAAGTTCCACCCTCACAGTGCCCCTGCAGTCACATGATTGCAATTCAGATGTTTAGCAATCGGCTCGCACTTACTATGGTTGCAGTATCCCGCAGTCACATTATCACCATTTGCGACATTCCCTGCTGGCTTCTGTGAGACTAGGCTGAAGCTGCCATAACCTAAAGATGAAGTAGGCACGTAAGCAGAGAGGAGAAAAGCCAGGAATCTT